TAAACTGTAAACTGTAAACTGTAAACTGTAAACTGTAAACTGTAAACTGTAAACTGTAAACTGTAAACTGTAAACTGTAAACTGTAAACTGTAAACTGTAAACTGTAAACTGTAAACTGTAAACTGTAAACTGTAAACTGTAAACTGTAAACTGTAAACTGTAAACTGTAAACTGTAAACTGTAAACTGTAAACTGTAAACTGTAAACTGTAAACTGTAAACTGTAAACTGTAAACTGTAAACTGTAAACTGTAAACTGTAAACTGTAAACTGTAAACTGTAAACTGTAAACTGTAAACTGTAAACTGTAAACTGTAAACTGTAAACTGTAAACTGTAAACTGTAAACTGTAAACTGTAAACTGTAAACTGTAAACTGTAAACTGTAAACTGTAAACTGTAAACTGTAAACTGTAAACTGTAAACTGTAAACTGTAAACTGTAAACTGTAAACTGTAAACTGTAAACTGTAAACTGTAAACTGTAAACTGTAAACTGTAAACTGTAAACTGTAAACTGTAAACTGTAAACTGTAAACTGTAAACTGTAAACTGTAAACTGTAAACTGTAAACTGTAAACTGTAAACTGTAAACTGTAAACTGTAAACTGTAAACTGTAAACTGTAAACTGTAAACTGTAAACTGTAAACTGTAAACTGTAAACTGTAAACTGTAAACTGTAAACTGTAAACTGTAAACTGTAAACTGTAAACTGTAAACTGTAAACTGTAAACTGTAAACTGTAAACTGTAAACTGTAAACTGTAAACTGTAAACTGTAAACTATAAACTATAAACTATAAACTATAAATTATAAATTATTAAACTATACTATACTTAATAGTGTAATGCTCAGATTTAAGCGATTATGCTAATCCAAAATATTTTTTACGGAAAACGATATACCATTCTTGAGATTTTTGTTTCAAAATGCATTACATGTTACAATTATAGTAATTTCGGTTCGATGAACGAAAGTTATGAGTACTAGGGACCTGAGAAGAGAAAATTTTAAGCGAATATTTTTCGCAGTAACTGCGGCTTAAAATTGAAGTATCGATTTTTGGCTATGAAATCGTTTATTTTTCACCTGTAAAACGAAAACTAAACTCCGGGAAAAACCACCTCCGTCGTTCCCTGGATTTTTATTTCCGAAACAAGCCGCGTGGTTTGAAATAAATGGATGGTGCATGTTTTGAGATATCGTGGTCATGAGTTTTGAAAATGTGGTTTCGGGAAATACGTGCTTAAAGTACTCGGTGC